TTGGATGAATTCATATACTTACGAGAACTCCTTCCCCCAGACGCAAACATTCCTAGCAAAGAACCAGAAACATGACTGGACTCTGAAATTTGCTGTCCATTCTCACAGGGATGAAATCCCAGAATTGCTTCAACTTGCCCAGATAGCATTTACCCTTCCTTTGCATACTGCTGGATGCGAGGGATTGTTCTCACAACAGAATTTGATTGTTACCAAACAAAGAAGTAGGCTCAAACCTGAAATTTGTGATCATCTGCTAAGAGTTAAGATTCTTGAGAGTATGATAAGTTATGAAGATGCACTGAATGTACGGCGGAGGAAAAAGATATTACTTCATTAAGAAATGAAATCTCTTCTCAGTAGAGTGCTCATTAAGACTGTTTAATAAGTAGCATGTGAGGATAATTTCATTAATATAACATTTTCTCAGTTTTGAGTAATCATGGTTTTCAGTTTTTAGAGATCTAGATTGTTTACCTCTTGTTGATGGTTTCATCAAATAAAAACCAATTACTGAAGAGTATGTACATGTTTTCTGATCATTTTGTTTTCTCATTTAGTCTTCAAATAAGTACAATAAAAAACTTGGCATTGTAATGATTTTATTGAAAAAGACAGTTAAAAGTCCTTACTAAATAAGTATATTAACATTAAGTTTAGCTGCAAAACCTTATCATATCATTCCCAAAAATATTGATACAGATATTTCAATTATATGAGTCATGTTTAAAAATGACCCATTATTTCAAGCAATGGCCCCTTGATATGCAAAATGACCCATTAAGGGTGGCCCAGGAGGGGTCATTGTCCCATGGGTGGTTTGAGCCTTCCCAATCACTGGTTATATTAATAATTTATACTTTAATGCATTTTAATGCAAGATAATCTTGATTATTTCTAAAATATCTGCAATTAAGTTTTCTTATGTAGACAGTATGGTCAGAATATAAAAGAAAAACAAAGGGGGAGAAATATGGCAAAGAAGATATTTCTAAAGATTTTTGTCCCAAAGTTCTCTTAAAACATGACCTGTCCGTCGGACAGCCCATCCTGTAACTTCACCTGTTCAAACTGAATTTTTACCTGTCTCGGACAGGCGGACAGACGCTAATGTCAAGCCCTGCTTAGATGACACAATAAGCATGCCAGTTTCTGTGGATTATGTTGGGAAAAGTGGGAAAAGTGGACAAAATATGAAGGAGAAGTTTATGCATAAAGTTAGAAAGGCCGGTGGATAATGTATTAGTTACTCCTGATCCAAGTGTAGTATGTGACAGCTATTGTGAGAAGTGTTTCACAGAAAGTAATAAAAAAGCCTTAGAATTATTAATTGAAGACATAAAGATGGGCAACATTCACCCAGCTCTAGCAGTATTGACTTGTTTACTTGACACTCTCCATGTAGGTAAAAGTTTGAAGTGCTCTTTTGCAAATTGGTTTATACGAGATTGCGTTATGTGGGTTACTCTGCCCCGACCCAGCTACCTCCCACGCAGGGTAACATGGGTTTCTCTGCTCCAACCCAACCTCCTTTCCCACAGGTTACATGGGTAACTCTGTACAACCCCAAGTTTGTAATCAACTTCTGACGTCACCACAGGATAACAAGGGTTACTCATTCTTCAATCCCAGTCATACGGCCTCTCAGGGTTACATGGGTAACTCTGCCTCCAACCAATCGCAGCTTCAGTCACCTGCTCACCTCATCCGCTCGGTACAGGATCAGGACCCTCAAGGTAAGGGAAACTATTCCATCTTAGATCAGCATGTCCCCAAGACCCTCAGGGAAAAAATCTGGGCCAAAGAACCCATAGATATGAAGTCTCTTCTTCCCACACCTTGAATATGCTATCTACGATGGAAATCTCGACATCCCATCAACTCGCACCACAGCCTAAAGTCGATGATGACGGAAAGATATCATTTAAGATGGCCCCGATGCACAAGCGTTCTTCTCCGATCACGCCATATCAATGGCAATGCGCCTTCCACGCCTTTAGCGTCATTTATTTGCAGCACTTCCCCACGGAAGCCGCAAGCCTCCTGCATTACGCAAATCGCATTCTTGACATGCAGGCTAATAAATTTCCAAATTGGAGGCTATACGATGAGAAGTTTAGAGCCCAGCAAAACTCTATGGGATTCAGCTGGGACGACCCTAACGGAGTGCTACTAGCCGAGGTCACATTCATCTCGAGACAAGAGCAAGATCAAGTTCCCCAGACGAGTTCCAGACTTGGACAATCACAGGTCAAACCTGTCTGTGATACGAACATTCGGGAAAACCAATGCAAGGGAAACCCGTGATATTTTCCGTAAATTAATTAAAAATCAGGAAACTGTCAGAAATAAAGATCGTATGGCATGGGAGCCAATTCTTGATTCAACTAAACCTGAGGCATGCAGGATGCTACAAGACATTGGTCTGATCACGCACACTTTAATTCCTAAAAGATTCAGATTTACAGATGACAACAAAGTAGGAACATATCCCCATCCAGTTGCAGTAACAGATGGTGAAAATGGGTATCTTTACATGCTGGATTATCAACCTCTCACAAACACAAGCAAGCTCATTCAGCTTCAGATGCACAGGCCAGTACGAACTTAAGTTTTGTTGTCAGATATTGAAGGGGTAATGCCTGTAGAAGGACTGAATATTTGTACTCATAGTCGAGTCCCGACTTCAGTCGTTAATTAGGTCAACAATTTAAATGGATCCCAACTATAGGCGGGCTGAAGATACGTTGTTAGAACTTGGCTGATTGGTCCTTTGAATGGAATACCCAGCATCTGTAATTATTCTCGGCCAATTAGAACACGTTTTACGTAGAATATATAGATACATAGCTGTTCAAGTCTGAATAAATTATGGGCTAATTATAAAATAAGAGCGTGCTTTCTAGAACAAAGAAAGTTCAACAAAGATGGCTGCTAATTTTGAATACGTTTAGAAGATGAAAATTTTGATGCTCTTAGTGCCAGTGTTTCAATTCCTTGAAAGAAAGGGGAAATGATTCAGATATTTATGTGGTTGATACAGGTGAATCGTCTGATTCAGATGATGACACGCCGCTCGCAAACTTTGTCCCCCTGGCACAGGTTGCAAAACGTAAAAATTATGTGAACAACTCAGAGGAAGCATGGACGTTGGAATTAACACCAGTAAATGTCAGAGAATTTACAGGAAATCCGGGTCCATTTACGGTGTATGATAACACAACATCTGAGATTGATTTTTTTCATCTTTTATTCAGTCCAGATTTTTACGAGTCGATTGCACATGAAACCAACGAATACCCACGTGTCAGTCAGGAAAAAAATGGCGTCGACAAGAAGTGGTCTCCAACAAATGCTGCGGAGATAAGGGCTTACACCTCTTTTATATTATTATGGGAATTGTTGTTGTGCTAAACCAGGACATGTATTTTACTTCTGATGCACTTTTTAAGGCCACGGGGATTACTGAATGGATAACAAGAAATCGCATGGACAAGGTCCACCAGTATTTTCATATGTGTGACACTCGGCAAAATTCCTGGTCATGATAAACTGGCACACATCAGACCTATTCTAGAACAGGTGAGAGAACAATTAAAATATCAATATAGGCCGCACCATGAGTGTTCCATAGATGAAGCCATGATAGCTATGATTTAAACAATATGTTCCTATCAAGATTACAAAGCAAGGCATCAAAGATTACTTTATGAAACAGCTAATTGGCTTAGGGCACAAGCTGAAATTGATACATTCCTGAGGCAGGGAACCATAGCAATGTGACCACTAGGGTGCAATGAGTTAAGAAGTCATGAGTACACAGCAACAAAGATCTGGAACATGGATGTAACTGGACTATCAAAGGTTCAGAAGCATGTACCGTAAACAGAGAGAAAGCTAAAGGAGATTGAAAGAGGTAGAGGGAGAAATGGAGAGAAAGGAAACAACTGGAAAGTAGTGAATATATAATATGATAGAACACAAACTTAAAGGTCATGTGGTCTTTACCTTGCATAAAAACTATACTGGAAGTAAATTCCATCATCCAATTTATAACAGGGTCAAGTAATAGCAACCCAAACCAGATGTGACTTCAAGCTTAAAAGAAGCATTTTTCATATTATTTTTAACTACCTCTCTTACACACTGACTTAAACAGTCAAAATTTGATATTTTGTAATGATAGCATTGGCTGGGATTAATGAAATTGTCATAAATGCTAATTTTACAGTTAAATACTCTATGTATACACGATAAATGCCATATTAAGATCTTAATACCAGTTCCAATTCAACACTGGAACTTCTATGTTACCTTGCTGTATTGCTCTTTGATAAATTTTGGGAGTTCAAACCTCCCAAAATCTTTGTTGCAGTTAAATAAATAATTTCTTAACACAAAATTGGGGAATGATGATCAAGTATTTTAAATTTCCCACAGCACTTACCAAACATTCTTACTGGCAGTGTCAGCTTCAAGGAACACGAGAGAAACTTCTGGATTCTCAACACAGGACATGATATTAACTAGTATCAACCACCAAACTTAATAACCAATAACCAAACCTATTGTCTAAGTCGGCATACTACATGATTCAATGAGTTTTCTAAATAATAACCATTAACATGCATTTCTGACATGCAATAAAACTCATCACCTTGCTTATATCTCTCTTATATTCCTCATTCCGTAGCTTCGATTACTTTGAGCTGTGCAACTTCATGATATGGTTACCTTTATATATGAACCTCTGTTCATTGGTGAAGGTGTGGATAGATAGTTCATAATGTGTAGCTCTTTTCTTCAGGAAACTGGAGATCTTTATGTCAATGTCATTTGACATACCGGGGGTCACTTTCTTTCAGCTGTCCACTTGGGAATGTTGATGTGAGACCTCTTCATTCCTACTGGTCAACTGATTGGAATAACATCTTGGGGGGAAATGTTGTTTCCATCGAGGAGTTAGGGTGCAGCCTCTTCTTTTCATATTGCCTCAGTCCAGTTTTCATTTCACATTGCAGTCCCACTTTTTCTTCCATTAGTACATATGACATTTCCTGGTGCTTGGACCTCAATCTTTTTGTTGCTTACCCTTTTCTCAGTTGTTCACAGATATTTATCGTTTATTAATATGCCTCCCTTTCAGAAACTGACCCATTAACTCCGCCCTTTTTTCTTTCTATTGATCACTCCATCCTCCTGGTCCATCATGTCCTCCAGTAGGGCCTGATCACTGGCAGCTATAGGGACGACTGAGATGTCCCGCACAGCTCTGAATTGACCACAGTTATTTAAATGCTCATTCTCAAGACGGAAGAAATTCCATATGAATCTCCTGAAAGAGAAAGTTAAGGACATCATATTTTTGTTGCTTAGTTAAAATATAGCTCAGAATAAATCTCCTAAAAGAAAACTTTGTACAATGAAAATTGAAATGCACACATGATAGCTGGTTTAAAAATGTTTTGTCTTTTTTTAGAGCAACATTTGATGGGATGTCTTTGGTAAGAATGTATATATAGGTGAATTTCAAATATTAACAAGAGGTGGAATTTAAGACAGAAATAAATTCAAATTAATGAAGTCACAAGATGGCCATATGCATCAAGTTTGAATCAAATTAGTATTTGTGATCTAAAAAGACTGATCTCTGCAAGAGCTGGAGAAATTATCTGAAATAGTTTTCAATATATCAAAATCGTAAAAATTCTTGCTTTTTACTGAGTTAGACATGTTTTACCTTTAAAGACTGAAGCAGAACCTATCCCAACACTTGTATAATAGACACATGAATAGAAATATACCTGACAACCTCAAGCATGGCTAATACTGTGCGTAGTATTTCATTGTTCAACATTTCATTCTCTCCTACAGACACAACTATGGTCCATGTACATCTCAGAAAGAAGTCTTCTAATATGGCAAAGTAGTAATAGGCCTAAAGAAAGAAAAAACTTCAAATCATTTCCCCTTGAAAAAATTATACTTTACTCCCACCAAAGTGCAAATAATCATCTTAACTTATCTTAATCTATCATACTATACAAAGGTAATGAGTATTCGGGCCCGTAGCCAGGGGGGGTTCGGGGGGTTCGAGAGAACCGCCCCTGTTGTTGGGAAAAGGTCCATTTTGGGTAAAATTTGATCTAGGTACACATTAGTTTCATTGTAAAAGGTCCACTTTTTCAGAAAAAGAACCCCCTTTTGAATTTGCTGGCTACGGACCTGGTATTAATGCTCAAATAAGATACCACATAACATAATATAATATTTATTATAATATACAATGCTTAGTAAATTATAAAAGGCCTTTAAAATGAAACTGATGTGGGTAAACAAAATTTCATCCACTTTGGCATTATTTCAATTCACTTACTGCTGACATCATCCCAGCTTCATAGCTCATTTGCCTGGTCAAATCACCTTTCATAATATACATAAATACTTATATACATTTTCCTCCTGGGATATACATTTCTTGTCCAACCTTTTCTGTGAGTTACTAGCTTTGAACCTATTTCATATCTTTAAAAGAGAGTTGTACTTTCAAATAATTTTCTTCTCCCAATCTCTCTTGCACACTCACACCCACACACAGGACACATACACACACATATGCACATACATCCATGCATGCCTTACCTTATAAGCATACACTATCTCCTCCCTAAGGAACTTGTTGTCCCCAGCCTTCTTGTCCATTAGTCCCCAGTCCATCTTAATATCCCAGGTATAAGTGTAGGCAGTACTCAACACTGCCGCGGCCACCCACAGGTAGAAGAATAAATTGTTTTGGATCACAGCATGCCCATGTTGGTCTGAAAAAGAAAACAAGATGGATATTCAGATAACAGATGTTCATTTGTCTTGCCTACATATGCCAAAAGCAAACAGAATTTGTCCAAAAGGAGCAGTCAATGTCAACGTGATAACTAAGTCTTAAAAGATGAAATGTCAATTAAAAAATTGCTTAAGAAGTGCTGATTATCAAAATTATGTTCACTGACTTTAAAAAGCCTTATAAATATGTCATAATTTAAACTTCATCAAGTGACAGTGTGTCCATAAAAATTCTAGAGGCAACATGTACACTTCTGTGTGACATTCTGCAAATTCGGGAAATACTTGCAAAAACAGCTTCTTATACATTTTAACAANCTTAAAGGGATAATAACTCTTCGTATGAAATCTGTATTTCACAATAAAAACATTGTGAGTGACTCATAAAAATATAATATATTCTGTTTTCCCACAAAAACGGCTGTTATAGCTATTATTCTGATATCTGAGCTTGTCTTTTGACCACGTGACCTCCATTGATGGCCATACTATGTTAAATTCTCTTAAGAGATTTTAACAAAAAACCAAACTTTTTAGAAAAAAACCAGGGACTAACTTTGAATGTAAAAATGGATTCATTAACCATTGGTAAGTATGGGAAAATTGTTGTTTACTCCAGGAAAATTCATTTTTTGGCCGAAACGAAGAGTTATTATCACTTTAACTTTAATTAGCCTTAAAAATGTGTCAGAATTTAAACTTCATCAAGTGACAGTGTGTCCATAAAAATTCTAAACACTTCTGTGTGACATTCTGCAAATTCCTGAAATACTTGCAAAAACAGCTTCTTATACATTTTAACAAGACTGTTCTATTCCTCATTGGTATTACTATAGTCACCTTTATACCAAGCATTCAGCGATGAGAACAGCACCACAAGGAAAGTAGTAGAATATTTCCCTGCATTGACTAAATGGGGAAACACCAATTTTGAGTCTCGATAACGACGAAGGCACTGGGCAAAGCGCCACCAGGCAGGAAGAACAGCAACAATGGCAGTGGATATATGTACTGGCAAGCTGTGTGAGCAAATCCCTGGCTCTGAAACAAGCATGGAAACTATGATAAATTTAAGCTTACACTAACAAATGAAAGATCCACTAAATGCCAAGACACTTACAAGTGAATTACATTTCTTTAAAATCTGACAACATCATACAGATCAAAATTTTGATGTTTCCCACCTTGACACAGCAACAACTGAACAGGTGTTTCTGGTTTTAAACATGTAACACAGTGAATAATACCTTCAGTTTTTGACTTTTAATATTCAAATACATTAAGACAAAAAAAAAAGTTATCACAGAAAGGTTTTGAGACATTTTAATCTCAATGATAATAACTGTTGTGCAATCAAAATTAATTACAAATTACACTGAAAAAAAATCTTTATCCTGAAAGGGTTATCCTTTACAAGTGGTTTATTAAAAGATAATTACGTTTAGCATCTCCCAGCCAGTCCACCTCTGCAACATAATAACATATGAAATACTGCAGGTCAAGTATCACCAGGGTCAAACTGTTCAGCTGGTCTGCCAGCCAGAAATCAGCAAATTCTACATGGTAGAAAGGAGCAGCTATGATTCTCCACTGTAAGAATAGAAGAACAAAATGAGTTTAAAAAGGTTTTTGTTTTATTGTAGTTATGTAAGAATATAAGGCAGATTGATAACCTAAGAATAGCAAGGCGGGGTTAAGGAGGGGTGAGGCAGCAAGCTGCAATAAAAACATTTATGTGAAGGTTTATCTTACAAAAATGTGGTGAAAAAATATGCATAAAACAGTTGCAGGAGTTCAATGTTTGGACAGGCGGTAGTGTAAACCTAGCTAATACCACAATTAAATTAAATTTCATTAATTAAAAATGATCTACATATGTGGTTCTGTATTATCAACTCAAACAGTTTATTTTCAAATTCTGGTAACATATTCATAACCACGTGAAAACAGACTGATGTCATGTTCATTATCTCCCAGTTTTGAAGCATTTTTATCTTTTGCTAGGTAGCCAAAATATGAAACACATAGGGCAAAATATCTGAAACAGCTGAAAATGCACCAACTTGTCTGATTTTAATACTCAACTGATCACAATTCAAACACATAGCGCCCTTCAGAAGAGTGAACTAACAGATCTGGGATCAAGTATGGCCGACCAACTTGAATGCTTGTTGCATAATCCCAACGGGAAATCTATTCCGTCTCTAATCAGGATATAAGCAGCAAGCTTTTAAGTGGGTCGCCATATTTGATCTGCGGATCTGTCCATCTGCTGCTCTGAATGTGCTCATAGAAACCTCCCTCACTCACCAAAATCCTAAGCAGCCAGAACCTTGACTTTTTATGCAGCACAGGCAAAGGGTTGACTAGATACAGGAACAAGAAGCCCACTAAAGCCAGTGGGTTGGCAAACACTGGGATGAAATAGAACTTGAGATATGCCATCAGGCTTATGGCCCAGATCACAGAAAAGAAGCAGGCAATCTGAAACAAATAATTCAATAAAAATAGGACTGTTATGAATTTTAATGCATTTTCATTTTTTAGAAGGGTAGTGTTAATTTTTTTCTATTTTCTGAGGCTCAGGCAAGATTTAGCAGGGATTTTTATTCTGGCCAAGCAAAATTTAAGAATTTATATCAGGTATGTTTTGATATTGTTTTGGCTGAATGGAAAAGTAGCATTTTCATGTGAGGAACATTCAAAATCTATTGTAAGGGATCATCCTGCCCTAATAAAGCACTAGCTTTTGGATTTTATTGCTACACGTTCTTGGTATATTACCTCATAAATCTGCTGATGAGAAAGATGATTTCTTGGGTCCAGTTCAAATATAAGTACATGGTTGACCCCGGATGACCTCCAGCCATATGTGTCAATCCCAAGAAGGAAGAGGAAGAAAATGATCAGGAATGTGCCACGATACATCCGCAGTGCTGTTTTCCAGTCAACTTCCTCGGTGTAAATAGCTAAAATGAATGAGACCACGTGCACCAAAATCAAAATATTTGAAACTGTGATGCAAGATAAAATGAATAAATAAATAAATATAAAGAGTGCAGCACACAGTATATACTACCATTTGAGTAATCTGTCTCCTTTACTTAGTGGCTGAACATGGCACTCTCAATCTATGTTATGCCGTGTGTGTGTGTGTGTGTGTGTGTGTGTGTGTGTGTGTGTTCTTGAACCCTCAGTCATAGCTTATGCTGAGCTTTTGACTAAAATGTTGCAAAGACAGTAGGGCAGCTTGTAATTCATTGTGTGTGCCTTGTTTGAGACATATTTATCAACCTTAGTACTTACTGCCTTCTCTACATGAAACTCAACTTTAATTTAGATGTTACTTTTAGTCTGAAGGACATATTGGCTATGAAAATATGAATGCTTGGTGACATGTAAAGTTGCACTTCATTCCATTTATCTGAGGTATGCTGTCCCCCCCCCCCCCCAACCCAAGCAAATGTCAACACCCTACCTGATATTATTACTGTCACCACCAAGACAATAAATATCCCTGAGAATAACCCAACACGAAATGTTGTCCATGGAATTTGCTGGAAAATATATAAAAATTTACAATTAATCAGTTATTTGATAAAAATTGGTTTTAATTTCTCAATTATCAAGGTGAGCACCAAACTAATTTTTGACGTAAGTTTTGATCTAAGCTGATGTGTCATGCTAATTTTTGATCTAAGTTACTGACCTACTCTGTTTCCTTTCTACTGAAGCACAGCCAAAAATGAAGGGGTCGGGTCATAAAAACAAAGATAACAATATAAGCATTTATCATTCATCTCTCTCTCTCTCAGACTCTCTCTCTCTCTCTCTCTCTCAGACACACATACACACTGGACTGTTGAAGAATAACCAACCTGATCTCCTAAGGGAGGGACACGCAATCTTTTCATTGCTTTCTGCCTGTCTCCTTCTTCTAATTCCGAAGTGACAGTATTCTGCAAGTTCAATTCAAGCCATGATAAATTAATGTTCTTTAAATCAATGGGACATTACAATGTTGAAGGCTCAAAACAATATCATGGTCTAAAGAAAATAATATCTATCTAATTTACTTAATAGGGGAAATTCATTAATATTTATATTATAATATGACCAATTTCAAACATGATACATAGGGAAAAGTGGATTTTGATCTACCTCTGTTTCTGAGATCAACCTTTCCACCTCCTTGCTGGTATAAAATGGTGCTACTTCTACATGGGCTTGCCTCCATTCTGCTCCACTGTTGGTTTGCAGCAGCTGGAAAATATTATAAAATAAAGTGAGATGTAACTTTCAAATGTGTGCAAATTTGAAACTGAAGTTAGAATCCATTATTGAACTTTTAAGTAAAAATTTCCATTACACCTTTTCCGATTTGTAGGAAAAAGATTTTTGAAAATAATACCGAAGCTCTTTCTATTTCAAAGTACCTGTTTAAAGATGCTTGTAAACTTGTATTTCATCTCAGAAGCCAAATGAATCTTGACACAGTGACAATACATTTTTTATGGCTTTTTCTCAACAATGATATCAGAATTTTAAAAACATTAGGATTAATTAAAAGTAATTACATGTTCTTGAACTCTTCATAGTTACAAATATTGTTTTCAGTCAAACGTGAAAAACTTCAAAATATCTACGAATAATGATAACAAATCATAATGGCTAATCTTATGATTATTAGATAAAGTTAGTGAACATTACAAATAAATGAAATATATAGTATTATGCAATTCAACGTCAAGAACCTCCTCCCAGAACTTTCTTAAATTAAAACTAATATCATTTGGCTTAATTTTTAACATTTTTAAGAACATTTTTAATCATTTTATTTTAATCTACTGCTGCTGTATAGTTGTAACATCACTTCAGTCTACTCAAGACTTCCATTGTAGAGAGCACAACACTGGTGGTATAAAACCCAGACTGCCAAGGTATACCTATAGGCTAAGTTTGATAAAAGGACGAGTATAACCACATCCACCATTACTTAGCAAGTTGTTTCCCATAATTTGTGAAAATACATTCTCAAGTCATTAAATTCCTAACTAAAACTTTAACATGGATGACAAATGAAGGAAATACTTAAAAGCTGGCTAGAATCTTATCCCGTCATTACTTATAACAAAACAACAACCAATGCTCACTTTTGACTCATCTTATTCTTTATGTAGAACCTCTTCTTAACAATCCAAATCCAAGGTTATTCTGATCTGTTTTGACAAAATTAAAAAGCATTTCCCATAGCTAAACTTACTGTTCCACGGCAACTTGTGAAGATTCTTGATGCTACCATGAGGCAGACAATATGTGTGCACAATCATACTGGCACAATGAGCCCCTTCCCACCACATGGGGCATAAGATGTGTATGTCCCAGTAATTCAAACTCATTTGTCTCTGTCCAGTGGAGTTTAAGAGGCACATGAGAAGGTTTCTTAATTGCCTCCCAAATGTCAAACACTAGAGTGACTATATACAAATACAACAGTGCTCCAGGAGCAAATTACAATTATGTTTATCCAGAATTATTGTTGCAAACTATAATTACTTTTATAACCAAGTACTTGCTGGCTATATCACTGGGAGTCTCCCTTCTGAACTTAATCTGACATCTGGACACCAGACTTCATGGCTGCACTGGCACACATCAAAGGGTGAGCATTACATCACATTGTCCAATGGCAAGTCACTACTGGTCCACAAGGATAAGTAACCACAACTTTTACTGTCTTACAATCAGACAGCTTTATAAAACTTAGCAAATAATTTTATTCCATAAGTCTTGGTTATAAAATCTAGAACTGGACAGCAAAACTTGCACATATACAGACACCTAACATCAAATCAAATCAAAAAAGATATAAACAAACCTTAAAAAACAATAACTTTTGTACAAAATAATCTACTAAAGTCTAAATTTTTGAAGGAGACCTGCCTTACATATAGTAAGCAATTCAGCAAATTTTAGGTAAAACAAAAATATTGTTTAGCTCTTATGGGGCGAATGATGCCAAAATACATGCAAATAAAATCATTAACTTTTTATAAAAATGATCTGACCATAATAAATCATTTTTAAACAAACAATGCTACTCAGCAAATTCAAAGTTAAAAAAAAAAATAGGAAGGACAAAGTGATCAGAATATATACATGCAGACTCATAGTGTCTGCCGTGACCAGACAGAGCAGATTGAACTCTAAGTATACAATTAAGTTCTTACTCACCAACCACACCTCTGTGACCAATCGGCCTTTCTTCACAGTTGAACTCAGAACTGTGTCCAGCACCCTAGCCTTTTCTCTTTTGTGTTTAAATGTCCGTTTAATCCAGCTTACACATTTGCTCTTAAACCCTATATTTTCAACACTTATAAACAACCCCTCTGGATCCACAATTTGTATTACAGTCATGATGTTTTTTAATCACAAGGCAAAGTCCAAACCCACTAAAACCTTGGAAAATGACCTTTTTGAAGTCAATTTTTAATATGCAATGCCTATATCTTAAACAAAAACCAGCATTAAGTTCAAAGCCACTCTCTGTCTTTGAACAAAAATGCCTCCAAAATTTTCATTTTGGAAGTTACAGTTTTTGGTTGATCAGAAAGCAATGGAGAACTATGCTCAATCCAACAGAAAGATGTTCTGAACTATAATCTTCTGCTAAATTTGCATAGCTTTTATAGATAGGTATTCCAAGGACAAAAACACTTCGCTAGTTTTATTCTGAGGACAAAAAATTTAAGTGAGATGCAAGAGTTCTCAATAAGTTACTGTCCAAGTTTAATCAACAAAGGGACCATACCAAAATTCAAATAGAAACAAATACTACTGATTTATATGCAAGGAAATATATATATATTCTACCTTATTCATGGTCTCAATTTTTCGTAATAGCGAAACCCCAGATTTAAATTATGTGTGTTTGTACAGAGAAATTAGCAGACCTGGACTTCAATACTTATATCAAAGAAAAGAAAATGTTTTCAACCATAAAAACTTTACTTTCAGATCAATGAACTTCAAATCATCAAACTTTCAGACATGTCCAAGATTGAGGCATTAGATGCAATCCAATTTATCACCCAAAACAATACCACTAAATAAATAACATAATTATCAAACAGAAAAAAAAAATCTTTTGATTTATTTTTATATTTATTTTTAAAGGGAATAAATGAATATTTCGCTTATCTAGGAGAAGGGGGGTAGGTTAAAGACCAAATTACATATTAGGAAGTGACTTAATGTGGTGAGCCTTTCCCTCCTGCGTCATGGCACTTTCATCACTTGTGTTACACTGCATGATCAGATAATTTAGCTACCTGGATAGCCCCCTGGATAACGTCCAACTATGAAAAATACTTTATCAACTGAGAGAGGATATTCACACTAAATATCTTCATACATTTGCATACTTTAAAGAATTGTTTGACTAACTTGTAAAATTAAATAATTAATTGTCACAATGTATGACCCCCCCATCTCCCAGGTTTCTTCCTGCCAAAGTAGTAGATGGTAGAATCACAAAGTGCAATTTGGTAAAATGATTGTAAGAGTAGAAATGCCAATCTGAGTTTCTACTTCAAGGAGAAAAACAATAGGATTTCTACTGGTCTATTACTCACAGTTTAGATTGTCAGCTTAACAAACTGAAATATCTTCCAAATAAATATTTATTACAGGAAAAAAAATTTGGCATTAGTTAAGAAACAGAAATCTTACTACAATGAATATTTCACTGAGGAAAGTAGTGTCTGGATCCCTGGTCGCCACTCTTGTCACCTTTAGTTCACCAGCTATCTAAACCATTCTGAATGCACTGTGCAGCTGGACAGAAATGGACAGTATGTCAAACATCTCTATAACCTTACAAGGTGTGGCAAGTACTACCATAGAGCACAGGCATTAGAACATTCGCACTGACTGGCCTCACATAAGAATTCCGGCCAATTTTCCCCTGTACATCTCAAACCTGATGGACCTCTCACTTTTCAAACCAAAGAGTAGCAATTGCAGATATTTATTGTCATTGTTATAATTTTGTAGACATCAAACATGAGCTTAGGTTTCAAAAAAAAAAAAAAAAAAAAAAAAAAAACTCTCCCCCCCCCCCACCTCCAAACTTTATTGCAGATCTTGATGAATCTCAGGAACCATTAGAATTGAATTAAAAAATGCAGAATTCTATGTTTCCGCAGAAAAATCTCATCTCTGAAACATACAGTCTACATTACAGATCTTTGTTCCTGCACTTGCTTATTTCTCTCACCTTATCATAAATGTATATATTGACCTTTTTACATAAATAAATATTTAATTAAGCTCTATTTTACAAATAATGTTGTCCTATTTCAATTATTTTTTTCAGCTGTTTTCAATTAATTACACGAAAAAACATCTATGACAAGAAATACAATCTTAATTAATCTGCCTCACTGGTGAAAAAAAAATCAATCTACCTGCAAAAAGAAGGAAGGGGCCCCTAGTCTCACGTAGTGGGTCATCTGACAATGTTCTTCCCAAAATTTAATTCTGCAAAGTGAGAGTCCCTACAAATCATTCATTTATTTCTTATCATATAATCACATAATAGGAGCTGTTGGTTACGCTGGTCAGCCCACATCAAAGATCCTATATCATCGGTCTACATTATACATATGTATATATACATCACATATGGTCTATCAAATAGTACTGAAAACTAAACAAAGGAGATGATGAAGTTAGGAGCTGACCATAGTAAATCAATCAAACAGGTGCCCCTATGGCCGGCTTGAATCACACTGCCAGTCAAGCGCCAAGCTTATCTAAATATCTAAATGATCACAGAAACTACATGGTGGTATGTGCTCAGTTCTATGGGGTGATCATGAGTGAATCTCCTGATGGAGCTCTCAGATGGCGGGAATTAAAGCAGCATGATTGGTGAAGGTTCACTTCAGGTTTGATTATTATCTGGCTCATGTTAGGTGAAAGTGCTGGACCACAGGCTTTCCCATGGCCATGGTGAAGGCCTACGTAATTACTAAATAAAATAAAATAGGGTTTTTAAATCACTGAATTTCACATTCTATAATGGGACAACAAACACTTTTAATCTTGGGAGATGCGGACTTCAGCTTGTCGTTATGGAAAATTATGATGGGTTCATATTAGAATGTACATCTTTTTTTTTCTAAGTAACTAAAATAGATAAATCTTTTCAAGTAAATAAATAAGACATTGCAATTAGCAAGATGCTTGAAATCTGTTGGTAAAAAAAGTTAAATTTTTCATTACAGACTTTCTTTAGGGGAAAGTAGAGTAATGGTTGGAAAATACAGAAAATTTAACCCCATAAAAGTTCAATCTTTATGCACCTAATGTTGGGAAGGAGAGCACAGAAACCTTTTGTCTGACCCTCTTACCCTTTTCTTGTTGGGCCAGCGAAGTTCTATAGAAAATAAATAATGGGAGATAGGGAGAGGATGAGCACAAAGAAGGGGTCAGATGGTGTGAGACACTTGGGCAAACAATTCAGCCAAGTGGTCATAGAGTTTGATCAGTACTGCAGGCCTACCCAACTACCAGACTCGGCACCTACGGATCCAGAATAAACCGGTATATCAGACCACACTACCCGTTTTCAAGGTGTGTGTCAGATCGCATTACAGAGTATCAGCCACCACACCGATTTTGCCTGGTGCGCGATGTGATAGCGATGATCTTAAGCGGGGTTTGAAAGTAGTGCATCTCATCTAGATTCATGCGCTGCTGCAATTTTCCCTGTTTATGCTAAAAATCTGACCATACTGCAATTTTTTAACATAAAATTTAGGTTCGAACATAGCCAATGATGTTTTGTAAATAAGAACTTGCAAACTTATATATTAATTTAGAAAAGTAGACCTTATATATTAATTTAGAAAAGTAGCGGAAGCATATTCTGTCGGGGGTTAAATAATTTCATGGCTAGCGGATGAGATTGAGGGAGTCGTCTGTCGCCATGTTGTTGTATTCATACGACTACTACTTGACGAAAACAAGGCGCGATACCCGGATGACAGGTAGGCTTACAAAATTTGTGATGGGGTATGATACTCTGTAATGCGATCTGACACACACCTTGAAAACGGGTAGTGTGGTCTGATATACCGGTTTATTCTGGATCCGTAGGTGTTGAGTCTGGTAGTTGGGTAGGCCTGTACTATGTCCAACCTGGCACGCTGTGCTTAAAGAGTTGGTTTGGTTAAACAAAGATTTATGCCCATATGATAGTTTACATTTTATTTAGCCAATCCTTTTTTAATATAAAATGGTGATTTACATGAATAATGGAGGTCTGGTAATTTTCATGCATTTATATTCGATTTTAAAACGTGTATTGCAACATCATTTTCTAGCTATTCACAATGATAGGAAATGCTTAAGGTATGTATAACAAACTCATAAATGCTTGACCAAACTTACTCTTTACAGATGGAAGAAATACATAGTAAAGTGCCAGGCATGTAAAACTGAACTGATGTGACCCCATGTGGCCCAATAAACTGAATACTACTCTGATCAATTCCTTCAGTCAACTTGAGATAAAGCTTAGACCCCATTTCCATAGATTTTAGATCGATCTATCCCTGTGGGGAGTCTCACTAGATTACTGTCAGCTTAGCCGGCTTAAGCGTCTGTTCCGCCTACTAAAAGCTGTAAGGGGGTAAATAACTACGGTGCGCGCTCGGCTGACTGCAATTTAGCGTGAACCCCCAGGGAGTTAGGTCGATCTAAATCTTAATCCCTGGATCTATCTAAATCTCTGGGAATGCACCCTTAGGGTAGAGAAAAACTAGTGCACTACTTAATTTTGAGCATGCCCAACTCTATTCAGTCTCAGCTAAACACAATGAGATGAGTCTTACCTACCACAATGAGATCACTCTTCCATATGTCTGTGGTCTGGTGCTTACCAAATGCTATTACAACAAATGATTTAATTGAAGGGTACTGTGGTATCCTCATTCATGTAATATTATTAGGCCTCAGTACCATCGGAGTTATTTGAGTGCTTATTTCACATCTTGAGACTGAGCATTAATGAACTCTTAAAAATATATATATATGTAAAATCGTAAAATCAAAGGTCAGTTTGCCTTGTGTGGTCAGACAGCACAATTAACAGGCTGCTTTCTGCTAACCTGAAGACGTACATCAATGCAATGAATATCTGATCTACTTACAGTTACTTACTAAACATACCTTTTTCACAACCGATCTATTTGTTTCTCTCTATTTCCTGTGTACCAATGCAATTACCTCTAGTCACTAATCAATACTATAACCAACATAAGTCTGGGTCAAAATACTAATACATGGCTCTAAATAGGAACGGGTTAACTACAAATACTTAAAACCCCTTTGATACAGGTGCATAGGCAGCTTGACAGGAGTTGAAGGCATAATTCACAAAAAAAATTGAACCTGAATATTGGTCTTAAGTTTATTTTTCAAATCAGGGGTAATTCAATCAAAGTAAACACTGCACCTTTTTTAAACAAGAAAGTTGAGGCTAAAGTTTCATACCAATACTTTCTTTGTGTTAGTGCACTACTTTGGACTTATATCAAACTGAAGTAGACATTTTTTGTCTAAAAGCTTAGACCAATTTTTGGTCTGAAATTCCTTTTAGGGAGAGATGAAATTGGCCCCTATGCTGAGCAATGGATGTTGTGTTCTACATTAATTATCCAGCCCTCCCACATTTTGTGCCCTTTGTTTAACTTAACCCCGTAACTTAACCCGTTCCCGTTTATAACCCAGTTATGTAATATTTTAATGTTGTGATCCTTCACTTGAATAATAAACCCCATGCATCCTTTGAGGACAATTATAACAATATCTTGGCTACAAATTAATATTTGTTCCACATGAAGCAAATATGGTTTAAAATATGCAGTTATTTTGGATTAATTTAATACATGAAAAATTAGTAAATGGGTATTAATTTAAGAGGAGTCATTCTTACATGAACCAAGCCTGTAGACATCTTGTCATGACTACATTTCACAAGACAAAAACTGCTTATAATACACATATATTAACATTCAATATAGAATTTTGTTCATGGCACACTGACTCACATGTTTTTTTAACAAACTGCAATTCTCCTGAGTCATCTAACAAACAGATGGAAAATTTAAATTTTCTTTTGGATGTATCAATCAGATTGTTATCGATTACGATCATCCATGTGCCTTGAACAACAGTGTTTCTATGATATTCCCACTTATACTTTAATATACTAGATACTTCAATTCTTAATGACTCACCAAAATGTCATAAGTAAAAACTGAAATTGTAGGTATACCATCATCACTATGATGACATTTATGTCTGTATAATTTAAATCAATTCAGTAAAAATTTCACAAACAAAAATGTCTACACAGAAAAAATATCAGCTTGTTGAGTGTATGATTGAGAATTATTTCCATGTCTATTTTGACATTGCTATACTAGTATAATTCATGTTTAACTTGCTCTCTAACAGAGGTTGAGGTCCAACTGAACATTGGACACTGTGACAGTCACAATCAAATGCCTGACATTCTGACTGGTCCATTCTGTCATTCATGACATGTTCACTAGTAAGTCTAACTGTAAGTAATCGAAACATAACTCTTACAGCACTGTTGTGCCATTACAATAAGACTCTACTCACCTTGTCGTGCTTCTTTAAAATCTTACGAAATCCTGTAAAATTCAAAGTCTGGTAATTTTGTAACAAGATGAGACTCAAGTAAAATTCGCTGTAGGCCAATTTTAAATCGTGAATTTTCCTTGTTGTTTTGGCAGATTTGTCCTGCACAACGTGTGCTGGGAGTTTTAGCAGTCCCTGAAGCTGACCACCTTGTTTTCGTCTGCGCAAATTGGTCTCCTGGCTTGCCATGTGGATCCGTTTGAAAGCCTCCAGCTCAGCCTTAAGACTTTCATACTTTCTGACTGCTTCTGCTAGTTTTTCTGAAAACAGAATGCAGCCAATTTGTTTTATGTCTACATGGATAAAATGTGACCATACTATGACCAAAGGATTAAAAGTATAGCCTTTGATTGATCTAATCAAGTTTTAATGACATTTAAAAAATGTTTAATTATGGTGTAGTGGGACCTGGAAGTACACACACAAATGGAGAATACTTTTTTAAAAACAAACCTGCAAAAAATGTGTTGATTTTTTTTAGTTCCTTGTCACATTTCTGGAGGAATTTTTCATCAAATTTGGCATAATATCTTTCAATGGTTTCTGGGTCGACCTCTGAAAAATAAAACTTTGAGATAAAACACATCTGTATAACTCACTGATTAAGATATACATTAAAAATTTTCCTCTTATGACCATCAAAACTTTAAAAAGATGCAAGGAACAGAGTAAGTGAATTGAATTTGAAGCAAAATTGGGGCATTTGAATAAGTTCTTTTAACTGGCTCTTCACAGGTTCATGTTTTTGGACTTATCAAACCCAGACTACAAAGTAGCAACATTCTATCCATTTAACACTCTTTGAAGTTTTCATGCCACCAAAAATCCAGTCAACTTGTAAATATCATTATGATGAAGATTCCTGCAAATCTCCAAACATTGTATCTACTTGATATTACCTTCTGCTGATGGCACCCCTTCTACACACTCGTAAAGAGCTTCCTTCATCGTCTGAAATAATACAAATAATTCTTCATGAAAAAAAAATTGTTTTCCACAATACCACAATTTTTATAGAATAAGCCTTTGCTGCAAGTAATATGCACCCAAAATGAACCCCCAAAACATGAGTTTACTTATTTTCTAAAAGCAACACGATTATACAAAGCAAGATACATTCTACCTTTACAAGTAGTAAATATCACAAACACAAAAAGAATCTGAACAAACCCATTGAACCAGTATATTGGATATAACTTGTGCATGTGCTAGGCTATATCATCTGCGTGATAACTGAAAATGCTATTTAAAAGTCTTATTTCACCTCAATAATTTCATCAGTGGTGTATGTATATAAACATGTAATTCAGGATTGTTATGAATCAAACAGGGTCTTATGTCTATGATCCACACATTTTTTTAAATTAAGCAGTAGTTTTGAGGCAACATGCAATATGAAAATGGAAAGAAACCTCAGATGCCCTGGGGACACTTTTTATGGCTGTTTGTGTAAACAAACAACTTGCGCCATCTATCATTGTCTGTGCTCCTTACTTATAATACATCTGTCAGTCTGTCTGTACTTTACTGCCCTGTACAAGTGTTACAGCACACCGTGGCTTTAAATCTTTTAAGTTTAGTGGCAAAATTTTCCTTTTGTGTATTTTTAAGTTAAATATCCTTTTACATGAAAATGAAGGTATCTATATTTTTTAAGACCAAATACTACTAGTACACAAATGACAAAATTCCCTCTGAACAAAAGACCCTTGGAATATAGATATATGCACCCAACTAAAGATTTCATGCTTACATGACATTAACATTTAATGGGGAAAAAAAGAAAAGACAATCAGACAATCATATTGCAATATTCCAACAACTGAGAGAAAAGTTTCATTGGCTCTGTGGATAGTGAAATATTACATTTCTATAGAAAGGAGCACATAATGATATAAAGAATGTTATCTTATCTATTAAGAGGTTGTATTCTGATCTACCTTTTCAACACAAAAGTCATATCCAATCATATCCAGGTCATGCGTTTTGGTGAAATGTTTTTCTATTGCACAGATCGCCCTCTTTTTTTCAATAGAAAAGTAATGCACTCATCTGGAAGCCCATGGCGTAAGAGTTAAGGTCTAAAGTTAAGCGTATGAAATTGGGGCAGGTATATTCATCGAGTATATGCATGGAGAAAAAAAAATTAAGCTAAGCTAGAAATCACAAAAGCAAGTTAACGCATTGTTACATTTGCTTATGCATATACCAAAAAAGAAAAAGTGTTACTGTATGTTACATTTCACAAGCACGCTACAATCTGTGCCATAGTTTTCAGCTTAAGCCTCGGTCACAACCGGCCGTACGGGCTCTTACGGGCTGTTTGCGTCCAATTTTTGTGCAGAATCTCACGTCCCACGCAAGACAAACTCAACATTTGAGTACAATTTTCACGGCCATCGTTCCTTGCAATTAGTGCCCCTGCTTGAAAGGAAATCTCATGTGGCCCTTGCTACTCGCAAGGCAGACTTTCCTTTACCTCTACAACCTCCACGGCCTTCGCAACAACCAAAAATCGCAGGGGACGTGCGATCCTGAAATTTGTGCGTCCGGTTGTGACCGAGGCTTTATTAGCCATTCACAACCACCAGTTTACCTATAGTAATATATTGATTTGAATTAGGATTCACTGGTCCTAATAAAAATTTCATCAAAACTAGACATTTTTCTCTGTTGAATTAATCATGTAACTGAGTTACATGAAAAAAAATTAAATCAAAAAGAAAGCTCTTTATATAGAATATAAATGTATAGAGTTTCTATAGAAAAAATGTAATGGCTACACTGCTAAAGTGACCTGAAAAATCTACTGGTCCAAACACAATTTTATTGCCACAAGTGTAGTACCAGTGGCAAATGTTGCAGACTGACTTCAGTTATATGTATGTGCAAAATGTGCCTATACTATAATCTGTGCTGATGTGATCATCTCATAAAAGGGATAATCTAGATCTCTATAGCTACTTCTCCTCCCATTGTTACTTCTGTGCATCATTACCTGCCAAACAATACTAGCATACTACAATACTATGATATTATCTGCGTATTGATATGCCCTTGTTCGATGCTCTGTATACGAATCATTCTAATTTTCTTTGTAAATATGAATCCAAGCACTGCTGCTATTTTCATTCAGTCCTTTAATTGCTAATTCATCTCCAGGAACAACTTGCATGGGCTGAGGACACAGTGATGTCTTGATGGATTGATGATATTGTGTAAGTAAATGTAAGACTGCATATTATCAATATCAGTATGGGGCAGGCATGTTGTGTAGATTATGTCATTATTATTATTACACCTAAAACCACTGCTCGTCTGGGGCAGTAGGTTTTGATTGCCATTGAAATTTGTGATATCATATTCAGATTGTTTCACTTTCTTGTACAATACTGTCAATAAAGTCTAAAATATATATATTCCGAGCATATGAAAAAGAAACCCGTGTATGTGTGATGGCCTTAACAAAAGGAGAAACAATTATTTCAAATGTACAATTTTTTATCAACACTGACGTCTTGTTTTCGTTTTCATTCTCAGCCTGTGCTAAGGCTAAAAAGGTCCCGCTAAAAATGCTTACAGAAATCACTGCGATTCTGCGACATATTACCTCGTACTGAATGTCCTGTTTCCGCCATTCTGGAGTAGTATGGGCAGCTAAGTGTTCCCCAAATTTCATTTTCCTCTCCTTTTTAGGTATCTCGAATGTTAAAATCTGTGTGGAAGATATGACATTCTTGCTTCTCTTGTCTTGCCCAGGCGTCCTGTTCGTAAATAGGTCACATCCCGTCAGGTCAAAGCAGGGTCAGAGGAAAAAACTGAGATAGAAAATTTAAAAAAACTACATCATACTTATAATAACTACTATTTTTAAAATATGTGAGTACTTTTTACCATCTGCATTAACAAATATATTTTTTCTTTGATCAACTGTTGCCCTCGACATCATTTTCTGCGAGGCTACGGCAAGTACGTGTGACGTCATTGAAACATGTATATGCAATGGGCGCAGGATAAACAACGGTGGAGATTTTTTTCTACAGCCATGTGTGGCTGTCAAGAACTAACTTGATGTATTCATTAAGTGATGAGCCATCGACAGGTTGTGTAGATCACAAAGAAGATAAAAGGTAAGGAATCAAATACTATTTTAAAATTGATTAAAGATTGAAAGTCACTGGGACACTCCTCTCTCTCAGTCAGTGTCTGGAGTCTCCTGTCTCCAAATTCAGGATGTCACCCCTATAAACTAGTGAGTCACAATTTCAAACTTACCTACCCCCCCCCCA